TGTAGAAAACGAAGCGTTTGAGAGAGGCGGGGCATAGAGGACCTACAATAATGTACAGTATTTGAAAAATAATGAGTTTTTTGAACATTAAAGCATGTCAACATATTCTGTTACACCAAATACACAAAATAATGATCTTTAAAATAGCATCATATGACCCCTTTAAGTACCTTTGAATATACCATGATATACTGTCCTATTAATGTGTGGTTTATGAATATATTTATTTACATATTTGGTATAATACAGGGCAAGACTTATAGGAGGCTGGAGGCCCCTGGGCTTGAGTCACTGTTATACTAAACTAAAACATTAGTGAGTTACACAAAAAAGTAAACTGCTATGAGGAGCCTAGACAAATGAATATACAGCATGCCTCATCTAGACATTGATCAGCCCCTGATCCAGTCTGAGTCATTGAATATTGAGTATCTGCCGATACACATGTATTTTCCTATTGCTTGGAGCACACTTCAAGTACATTCAGGTTTTATTAAAGTCAATCAGATTTATACAGGGATGTACAGAGAGTTTCTGAGAGACAGGGACTCAAATGCAGTACAGTAATTATATATATATATATTCTCACCCTCTAAAAATCCATTTTGTAGTTGTTTATCGACCCCCATATCCGCTAGGTAATTTCTTGGAAGAATTAGATGTGCTGCTCTCAACCTTCCCTGAGGATGACACTCCTGTGGTTATGCTTGGAGACTTCAACGTCCACCAAGATAAACCTCAGGCTGCAGACTTCCACACTCTGCTTGCCTCTCAAGCGTGTGTAAACTGCAGCTACTCACAAATCATGACACCAACTGGACCTTATTTACACACGACACTGCTCCACTGATCATGTGCTGGTTACTCCACTGCACACCTCGGATCACTTCCTCCTCACTCTTAACCTCAGCATGGTTCCTAACACAACACATACCCCTCCACCTTTCGACTTAACCTACGCTCACTCTCACCCTCTCAGCTATCTACTATGGTTTAAGCTTCACTTTCTCCTAAACAGTTCTCATCACCTGATGCTAACAGTGCTACTGACAATCTCTGCTTCACTTTTACGTCTTGTTTAGATACAGTCTGCCCCCTATCTTCCAGGCCAGCCCGTACCACCCCTTCTGCTTTCACCGCTTCAATTCATCTAACTCTCACATGCTCTTTAAAACATTTTCCTCCCTCCTTTGTCCTCCTCCTCCCCCTCCTTCATCAACTCTAACAGCTGACGACTTTGCCACATAATTCATTAATAGCATTACAACCATCAGTGCACAATTCTCCACACCATAAACTGTCAAACACATCTTACAAGCAAACATACACTCGCTCACATCCTTCTCTCCACTCTCTGAGGCCAAAGTCTCCAAACTCATCCTTTCCAATCATCCTACTACTTGTCCACTCGATCCTGTTTCATCTAATCTCCTTCAAGGCATTTCTCCTGCAGTTGTACCTGCACTCACTCACACATCATTAACACATCCCTTCACACTGATGTCTTTCCCCCAGCATTTAAACAGGCTTGGATAACCCCACTACTTAAGAAACCAGCACTTTTAGAAAACTACAGACCAGTATCCCTTCTTCCATTCACTGCAAAAACACTTGAACGAGTTGTGTTCAACCAAGTCTCTGCCTTTCTCGCACAGAACAAAGTCTGGCTTCAGAAGTGGACATTCAACCAAGATTGCCTTGCTCTCCATTGTTGAAGTCTTTGCGCCTCCTGCACGCTGACGACGGCCAGGAGTGCGTTTCCTGTCTGGGTAAGTCCCACGCAGAAGCCGCTCTCACCGAGATGGACTGTTCTCATTGTGAGAACATGAGTCTCACCTCTCTGCGTGCTCGGATCGCTTTCTTTTCAGAGAGTGACTCCGCCCCTCACGCCCTCCCATTTTATTCATCCCAGGAGCCTTTGAGGAAAAAACAGCGGGTCAGAGGGACTCAGCACCCGGCTACAAGTGAGCTCACGCTGGCTCAAGCCCCAGAGGTCCATGATGAACTCACAAGATCGTGGCGCACTCCCTACTTGGCTCACCTCCATACATCTGCTTCATCCACTCTCACCTCCATCGACGGCGCTGAAGAGAAGGGCTGCAAGAAGCTGTCTCTGCTGGATGAGACAGTGGCCACACACCTCTGCCCGCCCACTGCCATCGGGTGGAAGACTAGGGTCTCCCACCCGTTCAAGCCATGTAGGACTACTTCGGCCCTCACTGGACATGCCTACTCCTCGGCTGGCCATGCGGCCTCGGGGTTTCACTCTATGGCCGTGCTCCAGGTCTTTCAAGCCAAACTCCTCCGCTGCATGGACGAGAACATTATTATTAATGTTACCTGACCCCGTGGCTTTCAAGGAGCTGCACAGCATGACAGACCTGGCCCTGCGAGCCACAAAGACAACAGCGCAGGCCATTGGCAGGTCAATAGCCAATCTAGTGGTGCTGGAGCGCCACTTATGGCTAAACCTGACTGAGATCAAGGAGGCAGACAAGGTTCCCTTCCTCGACTCTCCGGTCTCCCCCACAGGGCTTTTCGGACCTGCCGTGGAGGGCTTTGCAGATCGCAGAAGTCGTCCCTGGCGATGCAACACTTCTTGCCCAAGTGCTCCAGCTCTCCAACTGCTTCCAGTCGCCCCAAGCCTGCGTGAGCTCAGCAGCCAGTGAAACCTGTGCCTTCGCCTGCTCAGCCTGCTCAAAAGCCTGAGCACTGACAGTGCTCCCAGACGCTACCCATTCCCGAAGCGCCAAGGACCCCGGCCCAAGACGACGCTGGATCCAGCGCCTCAGGCGCAATCCTGATCTGAGGGACAGGGCAGGCAGGGCTGGACTGGGACAAAAAATCGGCCCTGGCATGTTTTGGTCCAGGCGGCCCACCACCACTTCGATATATATATAGACCGTAAACACACAAAATGTTACCAAGTAGGTTAATGCCTCTGGTATCAGTTGTCAAACTCAGGAGGCTAAAGCCTTCTGTGAGACGTCCTAGTTTTCAGTTGCCCCCAGTGGTTATCAGTAAAATGTGTGTGACTCAACAGAAGACTAGTGTTCTGCTAAAAAAGACACTACAGAGGTCTGTATTACACCAGCAGGGAACGAAGCAACCAAGGCATACAATAACTTATTTGTATCATATAAGAGGAATACAAAATTGCAAAATGTGTTTATAGAGACATTTCACTGCAGTTTACAGTTTAAATAAACA